ATGCACGGCGCTAGTGTGTTAATGAAAACATTAAAGAAAAGCGTTTGAATTTGACCCGACAGGTCTGGAGAGCGTTCAATTTATTATTATAAAGTATAAATATATTAAGGCATGCTAAATTCCATTGTTTTGGGCCATTTAACGTTGATCGCTAAAAGTTTCAGTTTAAAACCACCGGACTTCTAATGGTTAAGTCCATGAATATCAGTACAGCAATTAGAACACATAGCCACATGTGATGGAATGAGAAGCTCTTATTGATAGGCAATCTGCCAGAAACACGATAAGATGACACATTTGCATCAGTGACAATTAGACATATGATAACAGTAACAACCACAACTGAGTTGTCTAATTGTTTTCTAAAATGCATCAAGATATCTGTATCTGTTGAGATGGCTCTATTCTTACTGTTATTATGTGTGTATTGTTAACACATTGACACAAGTGATAATCAATAACATACCAATATGTACAGGGTTTCAACACTTTGAATTCCACTATGTAAAGACAGTTGGTCGTCATTTCAACTATTTAAAGTGCCAGTGAAATGGCTGCTATTTTCACGTCTAAAATTATCAATTGATACATAAATATTATTAATTTTTATGTTTCTAAGCATAAATTATTTTTCTTAAGTGAAAAAATGTGTTTTAAACTCAGTCTACAGCAACTTTATTTTTTGTATTTTAAAACGAGGCTCCTCATTAGCTATTCATTGCCATACAGAAATTCCCCTTGTGACGTCAGAAAGGGAAGTTGCTGGGCAGCTCGCATTGCCGATACGTGTAAATAAGGCAAATTTCTTGTGCAGTTGTCTCGTCTTTGACTAAATTGTCACTTATGTACTTTTTCGTCGAGGAAGAACGGGCCATAATGAACACTTGGATATCAAATTTGTTGCATGGGGTTGAGTTAGATGCGAGATATGTCCGTTCTGGTGTGGCTGGTCGCAGTGATGTCACCGTCCCCGGCGCACGTTTGTAAACTATCGCTGAACCTCGGCACTGGACAACTTTCGAGTCGGTAAGAAGTTCTAGTTTTTTTTGTTC